TCTTCCTTTCTCTCCCACCATCATCTCTGGCAACCTTAAAACTCAATTTAGAGTTTAAGATAACAAGTTTAAAATGTTATCAATAATATTTAGCTGAGAAAAAAAGGAGGAGCCGTCACTTGGACTGACCCCCCCATATATTTATGGTTTCCACTAACACATTTGAACAGCTTTATAAAGATGTGATGGAAAATTCAGTTACTGACACCTAAATTTTATTATCCAATAGGAAAGATCAAAACAGGAGAATGAGTCCAAGAACACCCCACCAAAAAAAAAGTAAAATTATACTGGTGAAATATTACAGGCACTATTATGCCCAAAAGAAGTTACAACATGCCCCCTGGTGGTCAAACTTTAACATAACCACTTATCTCAAAGGAACAGGGTTAAAGTGTTGATGTAGTGATGGCCCAGAAAAAAATTGCAAGCAGGAAGGTTTTTTGGCAATATCTTTTACTAGACCAACCGTATCATTGGGAGAGACGTTAGACAAGTTTTTGGCCACAAAGTGTTGCTCTTCCGGTCTGTAACACGAACAGTCTTGATTTAAAATAGGCAGAAGACATTCTCTAGTGCCAATATAACGGTATACTAATCCATATCTGTTCAGTAAGATCCTACAGCATATCCTAATGCGTGTCCCATCTTTACTAAAGAATTATGTTGACTGCCACCTTGCCAAATATTTATTTGAAATTCTTTTGCTGTCCATCCTCCTCTAGGGTTTCCCTACCTCCCCAGGAGTTTGACAGTAGGGCATGTAGGCAGATGTGGAACATGTAGGTAGATGTGGAAGATGTAAAACTTTCTAATTCAGCAGTTGACAAGCTATGGTCCACAGGCCAGATCAGGCCCACAGAGGTACTGAAACTGGTCCACAAACATGGGGCTTTGATGATGTGTGCTCTCCCATGCTGTAACAGGAAGAAACAGTGATGACTGTCATCTGCTATGTGCCACAGCACAGAGAAGTAGTAATGGCAACAACTGCTGGGTCCTAATGCTGATCCCTACCACCTCCGACCCAAGCTGGATCATTTTGGCCCACAGCCTGAAAAGGTTGCCATCCACTGCTCTAATCCTTTCCAGCAAGCACCAAGAGTAAAATAAACAAATAATAACCTGGAACAAATGCTGTCAGATACTCAAACCACTGCCTTATTGTAGAATCTCCAAACAAGTAGATAACTTTTCCTTGTAAACATTTGGTAACATCAACAGAATTGTTGAAGTGATGAATCCAGTGTGTTCTTGGCCTCCACTGATCTTCATAATAGTAACCGGAAGGGAAAACATCTGGACCTTGTCTCTCCAGATTGCCTGATTCTGGAAGAGAAAAATTCCTCAAGGTCAATAAGCTACTATAGAAAACAGTCTCCATAACTTTCGTCCAAAAAACATTGCCCCAAACCTTAAAACAAAGCAGTGACACAGAGGACAGAGATTAACACCCAACCTATAACATTATCATGTAATATGAACAACAAAACTAATAATAGTAGATGTCAAGCTACTGATAGTTAAAGCTATTTAACTAGACTTCCCATTCAAAGACCCTGATTCCAGTTGCTTACAACTTTGCCTGATTTAAATAATCCAGACTGAAGTGTTCCACATACGATGTTTGCCTGAAGTGGATTTATTTATTTATTTTTCATTATTAGAAAGCTGCAGCAAAAATGACTTTTAGGAAAAATTACACTGTTTTATCCATGTTATAAAAATTGCTTACAAACATTACTTAGAGAAGTCCTGATGCCACCATGCTATGGAAACAAGGCTTGAACTGGGCATCTAGAGATTAACTGTCACAAATATGCCTTTTGCCATTACCATGAAAATCAGGCCCAAAACTGGCCATGTAACAGGCCTCAATAAAATCTTAGTTTGCACAAACACAATGGAAACTTGTTCAAGTTTGCCAGCTAACTTCTTCTAAGATTCCATCCTCAGTGAGCACGCTCCAGCCTTGGGCCACAAAGAGCTGGGGAGGATTTTCCCTGCAATCAGTCCTTCTTGCTGCTATAGGTTGCTGTGGGTCCAGGTATCAGGGCTGAAAGCCAGCAACTTGACTTCCTTGTGCCTTCAGTGTTGTTCCTGCTGGGTTGCTGACTTGTATGCAGAGAGGACAAATCAGAACTGAAGGGCTTCAAATTTGGACAAAAAGTCTGGGATAGAGACCTGGGGCACAAGGAACTGGTTTGGCAGAGATTTGGATGGGGATACTCTCAGAAGAACAGAAAAAAAAGAAGTGTCTAAGCCCAGGGAAAGTGAGGAGCAGGAAGGGCAGAAAGGTCTGTGCCCCCCTTAAAGTCCAGATTGGAATCCAGGATTCCTTAGTCTCCCCATTCCTATACTGTCAAAAAATCTCTCTGAGACTCACAGATAAGTGTGAGCCTCGTTCCCCTGAAGTGGCTGGTACATATATGAAGGATGACAACCTACAATGGCTATCAATTTCTCAATTTAGCTTGATGCTACACGAGGGAATTTATTTTTCAGTTTGCTTTTTTGAAAACTAAGATTTATGCGTACACACGTTTGTGCGCACAGCTACATTCAAGACTTGAGGATAACATCACTGTACTCAGAAATTAGGAAATACCAGAGTTAGGGTAGCCCCATACAACATTTGCTTGAGTGATTACATGGATTACAACAGGTCTTTAATGACATGGCTAAATGCAATTTTTTCCACAGGTCCCCTATTCAAACCCATCTTTATACCATGCAGTGTGCTTCGCAAAACAACTGAACAACCTACACTGCAGGCAACATCACAGAGCACTTCATATATGCAAACCACAGTCCCCATCGATTTTAAGCACTCTGAAAAATGTCCTAAGCCAGGGCTGGCAATGTTTTTGGGCAGAATGCCAAAAACACCTGCAACCTCGACTTGTAAGATGTTAGCGTGCTAGGGGCGGGCCTGATCCTTGTTGTAGCAGCATAGCCCCAGCCACTTCCCCGCCATCCGTCCTGAGGCACGTGCGCCAAGCAAAATGCCTTCATGTGCCACATATTTGTATGCATGCCAGGGGCTGCTTACCCCTGTCTTAATTATCTTAAATTAGGCACCCAAAATTAGCGGGCACGTTTAACATTAATCTCTTTGTATCCCTTTGCCTTATTGAAATGTTGTAAACATAAAATTACCATGAATAACTCAGATGCTGTGTAATGAGGAATACCACAGAACAGTTATTCAGCTTCCAAGAGGTTGGGGGCTGCATGCTTCACGGCCTGCACCACACCACATGGGCTGCACCAACAGGGACTGCATACTCCACTGGCTGCACCAAGGCAAGCTATGGCCCCCCTTGCACCAGACACCCCGGGGACTCCCTCCACACTGGTACACTGGCAGGCCTGCTATCACCCCCCGCCCCCAGACACAGACCTGGGGTATTGCAGGCCTACGACCCACCACCACTATACTGCGCGCTCATGACTGCCCCCCCCACCAACTCATCAACATACCACATGCCCCAGGCTCACTCTCAGCTCCCCGCATTACCCTATCCCCTGGGACAGGGACAGGATGGAGCAGCCAAAGGAGAGAGGGGGAGCTTGGAGATTTCAGCTGTGCTGCTGCCAAAGCAATGTGGGGAGGTGGCTGGGCAGGAGCCCAGGGGCCACAATTTAAATCCTCAAAGGGTGCATGTTTCCCACAGACCAGCAGGTGGACAGCCTTACTGGAAAAAACGTAATAATTTTAAACTTCTGATGCAGATTTTGCCAGGCATTAGACCAGACACTGAGCCCAGAAAATAAAACTAAATGCTCACTCAGTGAGCACCATGCTTTCTGTGTACTGAATGAGCAAGGGATGTGTGGAAAAAGTAGCATGCAATAATAATATGATCAAGTTTATTTCATACTGCAAACACTCAATGGACATGGCTTCATTCTATTATTTCCTAGTTTTTAAGATGGTGATTTATAACCTTAATATTCTTTTTTAATCAGCAGTTAAGTATTTTGGATGCCTTGCAGTTCAGAAAAGTTGGTCTTCCAATTTTACAATAGTTGTAATCTGGAATAAGAAGTCATTACCTTCATATTTATACTGGTGTGACAGAACAGAATCCCACTTTAAATGACTAAAATCTAAGAATTAAAACAAAAATAAAACAAAACATTAACCCCCCCATAAGTCACAAATAAATATGTTATAACAGAGCCCTTCAGAAAATAAAAATCTTTAAACCCATTTTTAAGAGTGCATTGCTCTTGCACTTCTCCCTGTAGAAGAGAAGAGCCCTCTACACCCACATAAATGCAGAAGCAAAGAAACCAGATGCATCTTCTATAAAGGACCCACAAAGACATGATCCTGATGGTGGCCATCCCTATGGAATTAATGGAGAGAAATGCTGAGCTTCTGCTGTCAACCCTTCCTAATTAGCCATTAATTCTAAGGAAATACTACAGGGTCTTTGATCGTCAATAGTTATCATGCCACCTACACAGGACTTGGACATAGCAACTGTAACTGAAGCCATATATACATACATATATACACATATATACACA